GATGGAAGGTGAAAGGTGAAGGTGTGGATGAATCGGTGTGGGCGAACAAAGGATGCTGAGGTTACAGGCAAAGCCAAGCGGGTAAAGCGGGAAAGAGGACTGGATGAAAGAGATGACTAACCCCGTGCAGGCCTTGTCTTCAATGTAGAAGAGTGATGAGAGATGCTTGATGACAAGTGAGTCGACACTCACAAGTCGATCAAGCTGTGGCGAGTTTCCCTCTGTTGTTTGTGAGAGAGGGACAGGAAGCAGATTTGAGAAGGTTGGTGGGATGGGGAAAACGAAGGGGAGTGCAAACGAGGGAGAGAATGAAATGAGGGAAAGAAAAGGGAAAGGCGTGCACAGTTGATCACAAGCAGCCGAAGTGCTAGCAACTGAGACCTTGAGTGGCCAATAATTGGCGAGGAGGGGAGCCGCGGGTCAAGTCCTTGGGTCAGAAGGGGTGGAAGGGGGCAGTCAGAGGGGCAAATACAAGTAGGCAAATGGGGGCGCCGATGGGGGCAGAGTTTCGCCTGCGCCCTTGACCTACAGGCTTAAATGCTCCGCGGATACCTAAACAAGTGCTTGTGTGCTCGGTACGGGGTGCCCTATCTTTACCTAGGCGGGTTTATGGGATATTTCACATACCAATCTTGGTCACTGGGTGACTGGCTCTGTTGCCCGTGTTACTCTGCCTTCATTCTAAGGTTATGAAGACGTTGTCGAGGACAGTGATAGATTCCTCATACCCAGCAATTCCGAACAGAAATGAGATTCCTGGTCAAATTCCGTTGGTTGCCTTTTGTTTGAAGCCTAGGCGAACCATCCCACGAGGGACAGCTCACTGACCTCAGACAGGTGCCTGGGCACCGAACACGTACCGAAGGGCCTAGGTAGGCTAGGGCAGGTCAAAGCCCCCCGCTTAACCGGTGGCGGTGGTCGGCCTCTCCTTGGCTTACTTAACAAGGTCCGACTCGATTGTTGGGGCTCGATTAGGCCTGGCTTTTAACCATGGAAACTTCCCTGGGTGTCAATCTGGCCTCCCGAGCACAACGACCAGGCAAAGCAGATACGGACGCATCTGGAACGTATCACATCAGTCCACACTCACATCTTCCTCCTCGAATCTGTTTCGTCATTTGCGAACCGTTTGCCTCATCTGTTGGGCACGATTTTTCTTCTCTAATTGTCCCTACTCCATCTGTTCATTGGACCGTTTCGAGTGATTTATCTACAGCTGCTTGAAATAGCCCTTGCTCGCCCGCCCTGGTGCTTCTTCCGGCGGCTATGTGATGGCCTACGAGTGACAGTTGGAACCCGCCGTCACCTGGCCCAAAGATGACCATCAGCCTCACACGATCAAAATATCTCTCAGGCGGTAAGTCAGTCGACCTTCCTGCTCTCACTTGATCCAACGCTGAGGTCAAATCCAATGGCTGGTCACAATGTTTTATTGACTTTCTCCCATGTGCAGACCTGTATCCCGGCCAATAATCGAAAGCGTTTGAGCCTGTTTCAACCTGTTTGGATCGTCACAATCGAGCCCGGGATCTCCTCGGTCCAGAAGCTGATAGCCTGATGATCTCCCTCGACAGCCAGCTCACCGCTGATCTTAATTTGTCCCACGGATCATCGACAAAATTCCAGACTCTCTTGGGTTCGGGAAATCGGAACAGGAATATCACTGTCTGTCTCTATGGCACGACGCAGTAAGAGGTTGCATACATGATCAGCCTGGTCCTCGATCAGAGCTTCAGGCGAGACCAGTAACGATTGCCGCAGCGGCCCATGCATATACCCACATGTGGCTGTTCTTTAGCCACTGTGACTTCATCTTCGTACCGATCAAGCCACCCGCTCGTGCCGCGCCCCAAGGCCCATGGACCCAAAGCCATGACGTCTTTTATCAAGCCCCAAGTCAATTTATCAAAGGCCAATGTGGAACAAACGTGCATGCGATGCCAACCTTGCTTTGGCGTGCTATGCAGGAGCGATAGTAGACAAGATTGCGAGGTGCGGCCACTGCAAGCCTTATGGGTTTGCTGCAGCTAGACCTCACCCCAGAGTATCTAGAGTACAAGGATGTTCCTCCAGCTCGCCGCTCCTATTACCCGAATTTGATTTACGAACAGGCATGACAATTCTTTGCCAGTATGGATGTTTGTTCCCCTGTTCACCTCAACCATGTTTTTCTTCCTTGCTCAAACCTGGAGACAGAAGTTAGCCGGGCATAACACCTTGATGGGCTTCAGCGCCAGCCAGTGTACATTCTGGTGAGACGGCAAAGATGATAGCTCTCGTCAAAGGCGTTCCAGACCGATGCACCCGTGACACATCACATTGTTCTGTCTGTTGTTGGATCGGCTTTTCTCAACTGAAGAGCATGGACTTTGCCAAATACAGGGAAATTCGGCCATACTGTACTCGGCGTTCATCAAAGATGAAGACAACATCGAGGAATACAAGTAAATGCTTTCCCCAAGCAACTTCGACTTCCCCGGAGCCTCGGTGCTGATGCCGGCGGAAAGGCTCCGCTCTTCCCCCTTCCGCTATCGGCGGGGTTAAATCAACTACCGATGGAGATCAACGCCTGGCGCAATTGTTGTCGTCCTCGGCTCCATCATGGGGATGGGGACAAGTTGATAGATCCTTCTATCTCCACCTCCATCGCTTTCCTCTGCCGTTGGGTGACTAAAATCTAGCAATATAACGGCTATTAGATTTTGCCAGAGGGACCACAACGAGGTAGGAATATCTGCACAGGACTCGCCATCCAGCGATCACTAAGACAGTAAAGAAAGTGCTTCAGGTTCATACCTAGAGTAGATTGTTGAATCTCTGGGTTGGTGTCTTCTGCGAGAAAACACACCGACCTGAAAGAGCACAGGACATATCGAGTACAAGATCACAATGCGTCCAACAGAATCAACCTCACATCCTTACATCCTTGAGACATCCCGTGGCTCACTCAAGGGTCTCGAGCAGCGGGACCTGACAGGAAAACCGATCCTATATCGCTTTGCCAAAGTCCCTTACGCGCTGCCGCCCACGGGTTCCCGTCGATGGCGTCGACCTCAAGCCTTGCCACATGACTTTACGTTCAACAGCTCACAGGGTGCACCGGGGGACTACACACGCTTTGGGCCCATCTGCCCTCAACCCCACTATGACCATGGTTCAATCGCCATCGCAAATCCCAATGCCGCCCCGCCTGTCGAGAATGAGCAGGACGAAGACTGCCTGTACCTGAACATTTGGGTTCCGGCTTCAGCTCCGCCGAACAAGAAAGGGTGGCCTGTCCAGTTCCACATCCATGGCGGCTGGCTCCAGGTTGGGGACGCCCTGCAGCAGAACGACACGGACCCGTTCGACCTGATTGCCAGTACCACACCGCGCATCATCGTCTCGCCAACTTACCGCCTCAATCTGTTCGGCTTCTTGGCTGGATCCGAACTGGCTAGTCTCCAGGAAGACGCTTCGCCATCAAACTACGGCCTGTGGGACCAACGGTGTGCGCTGGAATGGGTGGCGAAGAACATCCACCTGTTTGGCGGCGACGCATCCAACATCACCGTGGGGGGCCTGTCGGCCGGCGCCAACAGCACTTTTTTCCAGCTCAACTACGACACTCTCCTGCCTCCGGAGCAGAGACTGATCAGGAGAGTGTACCTGTGGTCCAACGCGGTGGCGATCCAGCCGAATCCGACCACCTCACCAGTTCTGACCCAGCAGTTCAACGACCTCTGCGCGATCTTTGGCATCCCATCGTCGAGCCGGCCGCAAGAGAAACTCGAGCGCATGCGCCAAATTCCGGCCAAGGACCTGATCGCGTCCCTGGCCAAGATGAAGATGCACACATTCCGCGCGTCGACCGACGACTGTTTTGTCCCCAGCACGTTCCTCTCAGCACTGCACTCGGGCTCGTTCACGACCCGCCTCGCCGAGAACAACATCTCTGTCTTTCTCGGCGAGGTCTGCGACGAGAAAGAGCTGTACAAGATCGTCAACCCGCCCTCGTCGTACCAGGGACTCATGACCCAGTTAGCCAACTACTATCCCGCACACGTGGTCAAGGCGCTGTTACCGCTGTACACGATACCAGCTACCAACTCGACCAACGCGGCCGAGTGGGCCGAGGTGTTTAGCCAGATCGTGGCGGACGCACAGGTGCACGCCTCGCTCCGGGGTCTCACGCACATCCTGCTCAACCCGCCACAACAGAGACCTGGCGGTGCCGTCGTCAAACCCCTCCCGCCCACCAGCGTTCACCGATACCGGATTTCCTGGCGCGCCAAGAACCTCGACCGCTGGATCTCCCCCTCGGTCGGGGTGTGCCACGGCCTCGATGCCCCCATCTTTTGGGCAAGCGGCTGGCGCGCCGACTTCACCCAGGAAGACAAACGTGTGGTCCAGCGCTTCTTGGCTCCCTTTGGCAGCTTCCTCGCCGGCGATGAACCCGTCCAGGGCAGTCGGGGCGCCATCCGTGGGGAGAGGTATGTCCGGTGGCTGGCCGCGGACGGTAACGTGGTCGACGACAAGGAGGACGAGTTGTGGGACCGCGGCATGCGCATCTGGGATAAAGTGTGGGAGGCGCAGAGGAACCTCGTGGCCAAGGAGAAGGAAAGCGGTGAGAGCCGGTTGTGATACTCGTAACAGCCGATTGATATTGGGGATTGGGATAATCAAGAGTTATACGGGCATGTGACCATGCGAGTTTGACTTGCTCCCTTTCTCCTGGCACGAGCATGGCTAGATAGTCGGTCGGTCTGTCTGTCTGTCTGTCATGCACCCAAAAGGTCAGAAAAGCAATGAATTGAATTCAGTTGGATTTTGACACAGACGACCATCCACGATCTATCCATCCGAGAAGAAGATGATGAACCGGTGGTGATGAACTAAATCGCTGTGATCCGTGATCCGTGATCCGTGATCCCCTTCCCTCCTCTCTACCTCCTTATCTCCCTCCCTCCCTCTCTCCATCCTATCTATCCCACCTCGAGTATATCACTATAGTAAAAGCTTCACTCGAGCAACTTTTTCAAATCAGCCCTCTCGTCTAGCTCTTGGAGGAGATCCCGGAATGGCTCGTCGTCGTGGTTCTCGGCCTGGTCGGTGAAAAACGCCAGGTTGTCTTTGAGCCAGGTGCCTTCGTTGTCGGCCTATATAGGATGTCAAGATCGGAACCAAAAGGTTAGTTGCAATAAAAGGAGGGGGGAGGGGCAGAGGGAAGACTCACGCTGGGAATGAGAACGCCGTTCTCAAGCGCGGCAATCACAGGCTGAAAGGCTATGAAGTGCAGTTTCCTCGCCAGCTTCTCTTCCTTGGTAATCTCGCCGCCGTGCCCGTTGACGCCGGCGGTAGCGGTGCCGTTGTTGACCACGTCATACCACGCGCTCTGGAGCCGGAGCGCAAACGCGTCGAACCTCTCCTTTGTGCGCTTCGGCCCCGTCCGCACGGTCGCGAAGATGCGGTTCGGCGACGACACGCCGCGGTTGTACGGCTTCCCCGCCACGAAGAAGTCGCCGGCCGGCTCGCCCGCGACGAAGTGCACGTTGACAAACAGCGACGGGGTCAGGTACTCGGTGCTGTGCAGCACGGTGATTTTTTGCGCCAATGCGGCTTTTTGCTCCTGTGTGAGGGGGTACGAGTGTTGGATCTGTCGGGTGGATATGGTAGATATGGTTAGGAGGGATGTGAGAGAGAGAGAGAGAGACAACCCCGGGGTGTAGAGGGGGGGTTCTTGGTCAGAAGGAGAGAAGGTGATTTGACTTACGCTGTAGATGGGCATGTTGGCGTGAGGCCCTGGCTTGAGACTGCTGTTGTAGGGTTTGGCGTTCTGTGTAAAGATGGTTGAATAGATTCAGTGTCAACGGGCGAATGCGGTGGCAGCAGAACCATTCTGGCAGTCGAACGGTTCCATTATATAGACGCCGAACAGCGTTGCAGTATGTGCTTGACGGGCTCTTCGTCTAGCTTAGGACTGATTGGGTGAGGTGTTAGTTGCGTTCTCGAGACTTCTGTGCTTCGACCAGCTGTTTCGCCAAAGAACAAGCTAAGTCTCATAAGCGCGACGAGATCCAAGCCCTAGATCGGATGATCGATGAAAAAATGCGGAGGTGTGGTAACCTGCTGTTGGGTGGACAAGGCGGACTTTGGGGGAGGACGGCGGACTGAGCGGCAAATGGTGGACATATGGCGGAGAGACGGACAATGAGGCGGACGTCGAGTCTCCATTCCGCTAGATGCTAAGCATGACTTCCCTGGCTTCCAGCATCCGTAAATAAGTCCCTGCAGATCATCATTCGTCACTTAGTGAGTCAAAGGAAAAGATGCTGGGCGAGAAGCCGCTCAGCTATGTTTGTAAGTACCTGCAATTTTCCACCTCGTGTCAAGCCGCCTCAGTCCCCTCTTGAGAGTCTCCAAACTCCTTGCGTGGTCGCTGTTGGATCTCTCCCTGACCGTTCGCACGTAAAACGCCGCGGCTCGGTACTGCCAATGCAGAACGAACGGAGTGACCATGTCGACCGGGAGTGCGTTCCCTTGGAGGAAGTGTGCGGAGGAAGTTGAGCACGTCTTCGAGACTCGTTCGAGCAGATCCCGTGCATGATCACGACGTCTCAGTTCGGTGGGCGTGGATGGCTCGATGCGCAGAGCGTTGTCGTACAGGACGAACAGGGAACTTTCGCCCAGATGAGCCCAGCCCTAACCTGGCCATGTGTGTCCAGGGGGAATGACACTTACCTGTAACAAATCTGAGCGTGAGCGCCCGCGGGACCTTTGAGGACGCCGCTCACCATCCGAATCGACATCTGAATCGCCTTCTCCAGCTGCCGCTCCTGGGTCTCTCGAAACTCGGCTTCCATCGAGTCGTCGCCAACGTGCTGGAGCACACGACAAAGGAGATGTGTCGCCTGGGCCAACTTGGCGAATCGGCCCATCCTTTCCGTCGACGGGCACGAGATGGTCATCCTGTCGTGGGGAGTGACCATGCCGGCATCCCAAGCCGCGTCATCGACAGGTAGAAGATCCTCTGGGCTGGGATCGTCGGTTTCAAAGTTGCGTCTGCCCGGACAGCTTATGTTTGCGAAGCGATCGAGGATCAGGATTGACCACCACAACCGTCTCTTCTCCTCCGACTGGAAACCATCGATACATTCCGCCGGCCTCTCTGTTAACGTCAGGTGGATGTTCAGAGCCCTCCCAGATCTTGCGCAGGAGGCAATGGACAGGACTGCAGATGGGTAGATCGCATGAGCGAATTCATAGACCGCAATCAGCACGGCTGCCTGGAGGCCACGGATGCTGAAGGCTCCCGCCACCTCGAGCTCGGTCGCGTAGTGCTTTGCAGCCAGATACAACGGTATCCGAGGGTCTTGTCGTTCCTCCGACGGTCTCCAGATGATCAGTTTCATGCAGAGCAAAAGCAGGGCGACATCCCCTTGTCGTGGCACCAAAGGGTTCACGAGGCGGTTGTAGAACGAATGCTTGGAAATGATGGACCACCAACAGTGGACGGTCCGAAAGTATTCTGCGCCGTCCTGTTGAAGTGTGGCAGCGTCTCCTAGAAGGGCCGACACGTTTCGAGGCACGGTCGACTGCACATCCGCGACCACCATCTGGCCGCACTTGAAGACATCGTGATCCAGAAAGTAGACGACCACCGCCTCTGCCGGCTGAGGCTCGATTCCTTTTTCCGTGGGGAGGGACACTTCCTCGCCCTCCTCCCCGTCCTCCGCTCTAGGGGTAGGGACTCTGCGCTGGGGATAGATGCATTTCCGTCGGTGTCTGTAGAACGATGATCAGTATATGGTGGAGTCTGCTTGATTGGCTAAACAAGGTAGACAGAGGCACAGACTCACCTTCGACAGAGCGAGCACTCGGGTAGACACCTGTCGCATTTCCGCTTCCTCTTGCGACAGAAGCCGCATGACAAAAAGGCTCGAGCCTGTTGGCGCGGAGCACTGGGACCGGCAGGCGGACTTGGTCCAGGCGTAGGGGTGGTGCCGTCATCACTAGCTTCCATATGGTGTGGGTTCAGGAAAAATGATAGCAGAAAGGAGAAATTTTAGATGGTAATGGGTTTCTTTTTTCCCCAGCTGTCGATCAAATGTGCGCCTCGTTGTCCGCCAAATGTCCGCCTCGGTTGATCGAATCCGGGGCTCCAGCGGGTGTTGACGGCACGAGTAGATCAGGAACAACAGACGTACAAGGACTTAACTGATTCTCCTCCAATGTCTCTGTAGTCATGCTGAACGAATGTCAGATTTCTATCTAGATTTCCAAATCGGAAACAAATGTCTCTATGGTCATGACTGTGTGTTGTCCCTGCGATATTCCACGCCTGTGCCATGCGTCTAGGCTACCCTCTCGCCCCCTGTGGTTCCTGTCAAAGACACAAGGAGAATCACAGCAGATATCTAAAGTTCCTGTTCTCCTTGTCTGTCATATCAAGGAACTCGTGGTCGGGTGGCAGGTCTTGCGGTTCTTCGCGGTCCCTCTTCTTGTTCTCCCATGCATACAGCAAATCCAGCGTGATCGCCAGCGCAATGGCGACGGCGAGAATCACCACAATGGTAAGCTTGGCCGGGATATATTGGGGGGCATCTTTGGATTGGAAGGTCTCGGGGCCAATGATCTGGACACACAGCGTCAGTTCACTCATTATAGCAAACGCATGATCAAGACGTACATTGCCCACGCAGAAGCTCATCAATACAAGCGCGTTCATGGTGATCTTCTTCGTATGTCCGGCATCTACAAGGTGTCAGCAACGCACCCCGACATGGCATATGAGAACAACTTACAGTTCGACGTGATCCAGCTATACAACAGCGGAAGGGCTAGTAGTTGTTAGCAGCGGTCATGAAATGTTGCGGTCGACTCCAGCTTACTCGCGCCAACGGTGTTGGTCATGAAATTGCCGGCTAGCAAGCCGCCCTTATTCTCAGGAGGCAGCCACGCCATCAAAGCCCCTCCAAGTAAGGTCGGAATGGTGAGGACAATGATGGCAATACCCCTACCATTGTATTTGCCCGCCCACCATGTTCCGAGCCCGACCGACACAAAAGCAACCGCGCATCCCGGAAGGTTGAGAAGCAGTGTTGTGTATTCATCATAACCAAAGCTTTGGGGAAGAGGTTAGTAAGAATAAGTGCACAAGGATCCGTTGCCACATACTTCTCGATAATGATGCTCGAGAAAGAGCTGACGGCACCATTGGGCACGTTGGTGGTGATTACAACCAAGCTCAACAGCCAGGTCCTGTAATCGGTGAGCACCTCCTTGACTTGCTTAGTCTTCAATCTCTTGTTTTCAATCCCAGTCTGATTCTCTCGAACTCGCTCGATAATGTAGATCTTCTCTTCCGCCGACAACCGGCTTTTCATCGGGTTGTCTGGGAGGAAGAGCACAACCAAGATGCCGATAGCAATTGTGATGATCCCGAAGACCAGGAACAATATTTGCCATGACTTGAAATGGAGATGTGGATGGGAGTTGGTGTAGTGGAGGAAGCCATATGAGGCCAGAGAAGACACGGCCGGCGCTACCGATGTCTAGAACATGTCTGTTAGCTGCATCCATACCAGCCGAGTGACAACAGAAGGTCTCTGAAAAACAGTACGAACCCCTTGATACCAGATCCCCATCCGTGAAACTTGTTCATGCCGTTTGTACCACATGGCTGTGAGGATAACCAGGCTGCAACTGTCAGACGCCATTTTAGGCCTGGGTTGTCAAGACACTTGCCTAGGAGCGACACACGACTCGAACACCCCGAGCAAAACTCGAAGGGCGACGATGGATGCAAAATTGTGGCAGACGCAGTTCAGGGAAACTACGATGCCCCATAGAATCACTGCATCATTAGTCCACTTCATCATAAAGTCACCAATCTGCCACTTACCATTGCAGCCCAAGTACTTCGCAGTGGGGAACTTCTGGATAAGGAAGGACTGGAATGGCTCGCAGAACAAAAACGCCACATAGAAGGCGATTGCCAAATTCGAGAACCCGTTCGACGGCATATGGGTGTCCTCAATGACCCCCATGATCGCTGCATAGGAGACTATATCATTGTTAGCAACCGCTCAACTAGTTTCGCCACACATAAACTCACGCAAAGTCTTGTCGGTGTATTGCAAATAGTAACAGGCAAACATCAACGGCATGATCATCCAATCGACCTTTCGCATGAGCTTCTTCTCATCAATATCAATCACCTGTCCAGCTTGGGCGTTGGCCCGCAGAAACCCAAGGGCTGCGTCCACATCTCTGTAGTCGACGAGTTTCTCGTCGATGCTCTCGACAGAGGTCACTCTGGTCTGGTGTGTTTCGATGTCGTCCTTCATTTCGTGGACTGACCAGAGAGGAAGTGCTTCTGATGCAAAGACGTAGTGACACCAAAGCACATCTCACCTCCAAGGTATATCTAGCTCAGCGTATATGAGCTATGTTCGGCCATATGCCGACAGACTCGCAGCTGCCCATTATGGGGGATTATCTCGAAAATCCAGAGATGCAGCCAATCACCTTGGAAGTCTGCACGCGACATGCCGACACAAAAGTTCTCGACCTGCCATTGTAAGAAAGGTCAATCCCTAGAGTTAACGGCGGTGGAACCTGACCGAGGCGGTATGGGTGGGCATCGCCGTCGATCCCCTTGTCACTCTCCTCAGGATCTGCAAGTGCGGAGATCAAGATAACAAGGGATCAAGATATGAAATGCCACAGCGCTTCCCATTCATCCCGGCATATCCAAATCCTTTATCACCTGCCATTTATCGCCGCGAGTGACGCCGGAGATGAGCGACATTGGGATATGCTTCTCGGGACATGTATAGAGTCAGTCGCGCGGCCGCATCAAAGGCTATTCCTCTTTATGGCAGGAGGCGCCGTTCGCACTCTACAGCTTTCCTGATAACACGGATGTTTGAGCCTGAGCCTTTGAGGTCTGGATAGGTGGTAGCTCTATTTCTCGTGGAGATGTTGACCCCCTCAGCAATAATACCGAGTATTGACTGACGAACAACTGGAGACAATGATTTTGGTCACCGTGCATAAGCGAATGACACATTGGGGGTTCAGTTTCGGCTCGAGAAGATGAGGTACATAGGAGCAGGGCGCTTGTGCTGGTAATGACTGGTCCATTGAGGCTGGGCACTGAGAGAGACATTCTGCAACCGGAGTTTTCGGTCTCATTTTTAGCATTCTCTCGAGAGGAAGATAGAGAGCACCCTGCATATGGTAGAAAAGGATAACACATTGTTACTAGTGTGGAATACAACCGCGAAAGGGAGAAAGAAGGAGGAAATTAAGTCTGGTTTTTGGCGCAGCTCCACAAGCCAAGGCTGCGCACATTCTTCATGTCCTTCATGATCTTTCTGAACCACTGTCGACCGCTCTGCTCGTATTTCTTCGCTTTTCAGCCATGGCGACCTTCATCGCATATCAACCTCGAGTAAATGCACTACCCTTTGATAACTACACTTTCAGGTGCAAATGCGTATCAGAGATTCGGAACTAGAGCAGGTTTGGCATGGTCTGACGCCACGCGGACGAGGATCAGCGGGGTGAGTCTTGGGTCCGGGAGAGTGGATTTGTTCCCAGGTGGCCAGAGCCTGTAATAATGGCACTGATTTAACCCACTTGATTTCTTTTCTTTTCTTTTATGGATAACAAGATCATCTTCATCTACATTGACTGTTACACGATGACCCTATGAATGCAGGCTTTTTGCGATTGCTGTACCATGCAAGATGACTCTTCCTTACCAGTTCTTCAGACCGACGGACTTGAGTGGCTCGGGATTGGAGTCTCAGGCATTGTATACTCTCTCGACGAGCACCCTGTGGTAAAATCGCTCCCACATATGACAATAAGTACGCAACCAACGAAAGCCTTGAAGACCTCCAGATCGAGAGATCCGTATACCAGCATCTAGGGTCTCATCCCCGAATATGTCGATGTATCTCCTCGGTCCAACGAGGAATTATTCTAGAGAGGTTCGGTGAACCGCTCCGGAAGCATCTCCTAGAGCTTCAGAAGCAGGAGAAGACTCCGTCGTATAATCAGGCTCTCAAGTGGTCTTGTCAAGTCGCAGAGGGCGTGGCATTTTTACACCAAAAAAACATCGTACAAGGAGATATCGGCTGTCACAATATTCTTCTAAAATGCGACGGGATTAAGTTATGCGACTTTGGAGGCTCCTCAATTCACGGAAAGCCGGCAACAGCTGGTTACGAATACTGATCTCAACGTTGGGACGATACTTACGAGAATCCATCCATTCAAAGCGAACTCTTCGCGCCTGGTTCAACTATCTATGAAATATGGACGACCACGCGGCCTTACCAAGATGAACCCGACGAGATAGTCGGGCAAAATTACAAATCTCAGTGTTTTCCTCCAGACGTCAAAACCCTTCCAGTTGCTGGAATCGTCCAAAATTGCAGACATGGTACTTATCGTTCTGCGGATGAGGTTGTCGCCGCCCTTGCATCGCTTCAGACCGAACAAATGAGGCCACACTTGTCCACCACCAATACCAATAACTAGACAGCACTCACTTATTTTGGTGGCATCATTACTACCTTTATTCAGTAGATGGCTCTACCAGATACAGTTGTAACCCAACCACCTTTCGAGAGAGTTGGTTTATCCATATGTCTATGTGGATATCCAACTCATATCTTTGGACGACGTAAGTAAGACAAGCTTACCACAAGCATTTCTCGCCGTTCGCCCTGACGCACTGGACATTCTCGGTTCCGCCTTGGATTCAACTCTCGTTGCGACCGACCTTCCGTATTTTCGGAACCCTCAAGAGCTTCCAGGACCTCTCCCGACCTCGGCCGGGATTCGAGAGGCTGAAGTCATTCTCACGAAACGCGAGAATTATGGCAGCAACTTCGGACGGGTTGAACTAGTACGAGATCATTTCGTTATCAAACATGGTCGCTATATCAAGGAAAAGGAAGGAACTGCGCTCCTCTTCCTGGAAAAAGTATTGTCCATCCGTCCCTGCGCCTCGGCTATACGCAATGTATCGAGAGAAAGATGTCCTCTACCTCATAATGCGACTACTCCCAGCACAGAGTCTTTGGGATATATGGGATATACTGTTAGAGACTGAAAAGAGCTCGATATATAACCAGCTAAGGAGCGATTTGGCCAAAATACGCTCGATACCACCACCAAACATTGTTTGCAGCGTTATGGGAGGACCTATTCCCCATAGATTTTTCGATTGGTTTGGCCAGTAACCTCAAATTGTTGGCCCCTTCAAATCATCGTCAGAATTTCATCGGGGGATGGCGCTCCATTTGAGAAAGCAATATGAGCTTAATGACCGACGACCACGGAGTGCTGAGTGGTTCGAACGACAATTTGAGCGGACCTTGACGGATCATATGTTGCAATTCTGTCTGCACTAGTGGCAAGAACAGGTTGACAATAATCCTCGCCGTTCGAACGACCGTGCAGCATGACACTATTCGGCGCCAGCCAAAGATGGCGATGTAGTATCTCAATCGCGAAGGTATCGTTCACTTCGTGCCGCACAAGAATCTGCCTAAGCTCTTGGAAGATTGACGACGCGACCGTGAAGGATTGCTCATCGATATGTCTCATTGTGTTGTAGAACTGTGCCGGTGACCTCAGCTCTTTCTCCGTACATGTCATTTTGTCCGGTGCGGCCGACGGTAAGATGGTTGGGAGACTGCTTGAATTGGAGCCTGGCCGCGGACTGCATCACAACACTAATGTCAGAAATAGGAAGACTTGGACGAATTCAACTTGACCCATCGGAGTGTCATTTTCCCTCTCTGTTTCTCGAAGTGGACTGTTTCTGGTCTGCTGGTCCCGTCCCAGACCATGCTGTGGTTCGTGCATGAATAAAGTTGAATTACCACTCCTTAGGGGTCACATCACCCCTCGATCGAGCTCTCGACGAACATGACAACATTCTCGCGCAACTTGAGTATCCAGCGCAAGAGAGAGAATTTCGGAGTTTTCTGTCCGCTCGCATGACCGAAATCGAGGCCATTGTGTCCTTTCACCTTGGCAGCAGTGATTTTCAATTGGGTGATGAAGAAATGTGGATTTCGGGTAGCTACAACGTCTGCGTCCCCATGTATTTCAGTCCGGCCTCTAAGAAAGATGATGTCTATACCAGGATACCGTTGCCGTACAAAGTTGGGGAGAGAAACTCTCCCGGCAATGTCGAGGAGAAGCTTCGGTGCGAGGTTGCTTCCTACATCTGGATTCAACAAAATTGTCCGGATATCCCAATTCCTGCACTCTATGGATTTGGGGTTCCGGACGGTCAAACGGTATGTCTCCCCGTCACGACGTGCAACGGATTGAGCTGACAAGGTTATTAGTTCACTGCACCCGAAAATGTTCCACGCTTCACTCGACTCCTGTCGTATGTAAAGCGGACCTTGTTTTCGTGGCTTGGAACAGCTTCACCAAGTCGGTACATCCGCCGACGGCGTCTAGATATCCTGAAGACTGGATATATCATCATCGGTCGAGTTATCGAGGGAGAAATGCTCTCGATCTCCTGGGATTCCTTCCGCCACGACGCCGTTCGTCGCTCAAACCTGTTTCATGATGTAGCCCGGATTACCCTGTCATTGAACAAAGCTCGTCTCCCTCGCATCGGCTCTTTGTCCTTTAACGACAGCGGTCATCTCGCATTGACCAACCGTCCCCTAACATTACGCCTGCAGACCTTAGAAAATGAAGGCATTCCTACTCCTCTTGATCGGAATTCTACCTACACAGCTGTCGAGCCTTATGTTTTGGACCTCTTGGCGTGTCACGATCATCGGATTCACCACCAACCGAATTCCATTCATCATCATGACGATGGCGAGCAGCAACTTGCCGCTCCAACGATGATGCGTGCCATCACTCATCATTTCTTGGATCCAACGTATCGACACGGCCCTTTCGTCTTTACTCTTACATATCTTCACCAAAGTAATATCTTCGTGGACAAGGATTGGCACATTACTTCTCTGATTGACTTAGAGTGGGCCTGCTCTCTTCCCATTGAATTCCAGTCCCTGCCGTATTGGCTTTCGGGGCGAGCTGTAGATGAACTGACCGGAGAACACATGGACACTTTTCGCCGATTGGCGACGGAATATCTGGACGCCTTCGAGCAAGAGGAGAGATGAATCCTGGGGACGAACCTGTTCCAAACGCCGATAATGAGAAAGGGCTGGGAGACGGGGAGCTTCTGATACGTCCACGCAGTAAATAGTCCAAAAGGACTCTTTCGACTATTCAACGATCATCTATAGTGGATTTTCTGCCCTGAGTATTGCACCACGAAGGTCTTCGATCAAGTAGTGGCTCGCTACTGGAGTGTAAATGCAGCAGCTGTGATAAGGGCAAAGATCGACGACGAGACAGCGTACAAACATCGATTGGAGAAGGCGTTTGCAGACAAGCTGAACAATCTCGGGCCTCAGCCTAGAAAGTAACGGATCCTGGGTGACGAGCATCCCGACACGGCTTACACCTAAGGATGCAATGATTCGTCCGTCTTCACATCTCTGGCCTCGATGGCAGCGTTGGTCATTCGTGGCTAGTGAGCAATCCATTTTCGTCGGAATCGGGGCGCAAGGGTGTCATCACCGTTGATCGATATCGAATAGCTCGGTTATGACAATGAACAGGCAAAGGTGCGTCCTAACCGGCCGAGTCGAAGCTGCATGTTGCGAATCAGCTCGAACTCTCTGCATGAACAAAACGGATTTCGATAGCTAACATCCCGAAGACAACACCGGTATCAATTGACTGCTCCGTCTGGACGTGGTCAGTCATGCCCATCCCTGTCGACATGCAATCACGGGACGTTAAGCCCCCTTGATGTTCAACTGAGGAAGGATGAAAGCTTCTTTTCTTGAAGATCGACATGGGGCACATATGTGCTCGCAGAAAATTCTAGGGAGAACGGCATCCTTCGACAGAGCGTGTTGACACCGGGCAAAACACAACTGAAGCTATTAGACACTTGCTGTACGTGGGATAGTTGTTACGCGTCTCTTTGGGATTCCGACCCAAGCACGACTGAACAGACCCACAGGCATACCAGGAGAGTCTCCGATCTCAATCTCTCCTGGACTGATACCCGGGGACTAACATTGTATCATTGCCACCCTCACCTCACGTCGGCGTGCTATGACGACTACGTCAATCGAATTGCCTCCTCTGAGATCTAAAAAGAGATACTGCAATGACTCGATCTGCCATGTGAGCCATTACCAAAGGCATACATCTCGCTTTAAAGCCGCCTCCCCTGTGCATCACAACGAGAGCAGCCTATACCTGCGCGCCATGGAGTCCTACACTATTCCGGGCGTTTGGCCACTAGTCTGCATCAATTATCAACTACCAATTGTACAAGTAGTTGCCCGATGTGATGAATCCGCGGAACCCGGCACCTTTGCACGCTGTGTCCGCAGAGCTCGGGGGCGATACATCTACCTTCCGTTGTGCACACTGGATAGAGCAACAGGATCTTTTAGCAACAGCCTGATTGTCGGCTGCACAGGCGCTGAGTCAGAGGTTGCACACCTTCAAGGTCTTCGCCTCCGTGATCATAAAAAGGATTTACCAAGCACACACGAGAAAAGTGTCATCAACAATAAGAAGAATATGGGTGGTTGTCGTACGCTTTACCTGTTTGGAAGACAAACCAGTCGAATGACGGCAAATGCTCGCCCAGATTCTATATTTAGCTCTCGTGGCAAGGAGTCTGGCCAACCACATCAACGCGATCAACCCCCCATGTTCCCCTGTCGGTCAATGAGCCGTCAGATTAGTCCTGCGACAAGGACGAAACAAGTCAACAAGTCGGAAAGTCGCCGATGACTTTCCAGGATCTGGTTTGGTCTCTGAACTTCGTCGATCCATCACAGGAGGCTCAACCCGCTCATGCCACGCAATGCGCCATATTCATATCTAGAGGCCGCCAGGAAGAGCATGTTCCAGTATCCTCGAAAAGAAGCTTTGCTATAAAGAACACCGCCAGCCTGCTGGAAGAAATCAAGTCGATGTTGATGGTCTGAGTGCCTGCGGGAAACATAACCTTCACTCTCTCCTCATCATTGAGCACATTATCTTTGATATCCTCTCCCACGGCCCGACATGAAGTCCAAGCTTCTAGGAGCAATGTTTTTTGCCGTTTCTGCGAGTAAGTTGTCCTCAAAAACTGATAGTTCGCACTGTGGCTGACAATGGATCCTATCAGTGGCAGCAGCAACGGTGGCAGAGTCTGAACAAGATTCTTCTCTCCAGAAGCGAGCGTTCTACGAGGACGGCTACAAGATCTTTATCCGCAAACGAAATGCACACGCCTGCATGATGTCCATCGCCTTCATCGTCCTGTTCCCGCTGGGTGCCATTTCCCTTCATCTCCCACTGCGAGGTGTTCGCGTGGTCAAGTTCATCCACGCGCCGATTCAGATCCTGGGATTGGCGGTAATGATTGGTGCAATGGGGCTGGGTATCGACATTGCAGATGTTGATCTGAACTATTTTTCCAGCAGCACCTCTACCAAGGCCCACGTTGTGGTTGGGCTCCTCGCGACATCGGCGCTGATCCTCTTTCAGCCGGCACTGGGGCTGTTGCAGCATCGTTATTTCAAGAAGACAGGCAAGAAGAGCATGTTCGCCTACATCCACCGGTGGCTCGGCCGCATCGCAATCTGTCTAGGCTGGATCAATTCCGGCTTGGGTTTCCAGCTGGTGCCCATCTCGTTGGTCGCCACTCACTCTCTGGTACGAAACTTTGTGATCATGGGAGTCCTGGGAGGGATTTGGTTCTTCCTGATCGGGTGGGATGGATACCGACACCACTGGGTGAAGAAGAACAAGATATCCGCGTATCGGCTCGGCTGGGATAAGGGCGTGGTGCTTCGAAGTCCGCAGGCGGAGGAAGAGGGCATCAAGGAGGCTGGCAATTCCGCGGATCCGGTTGCTCACAGATAAGGGAACAAATTATTCTTATAGATCTACAGTTTTGTATTGTACGGAGGACTTCGGTATCTACCAAAGTGTCTTGTCGCTGTAAAGTCGTTGCCAGGAAATCCGCCTGCGGTTTAGGCGGCCCTGCGCCTTCGGGTATGGTCGCGGGCTGGGCGCGCCGCCGCTTTTGACGTCTATCTTAAAGGAGACATCCTAGGCATTAGTGGCAGAAAGGCACACCTGTACATAGCCAATTCGGGCTGGGAGTACCACTACTTTCCTGGGAGCCGCATAGGTGAGTTCAACTGGAGTTCTGCATGGATATGAGTTGAGACGGGAGATGCTCAATGAATAGGTACTTTGTGCCGTTTCCGTGCTCGAGACGCAGGTCAGTGTCAGCCTCGAGCGAAGCTGAAAGAACTTTGGAAAAGACCTCTCCGGATGAGGCTATGTGACAAGGCAACCATGTTCGACTAGTGCAAGCAGGGGGCTATCAGGCGAACACGCCACGTCTTCGCGGGGTTTATTTATGGGTTAGGATGCACAAGGACGCACTACGATGCAGGGAAGAGTTTTGAAGTACGAGGGACTCACGCCCATATGACAACCTGCAGGGTTCTCCATACAGACTACTGAACCGCCAGATTCGCTGGTTTGCTTTTGACCTTGGTCATTCCAGTCAACCTCTCAGCCTCTACTGCGGCAAATACATCTTGGATGTCTTTTGAGCTTACGACATACTTAGCAGCTCGACAGCTCTGGTATCGCCATGCCTCCAAGTTTGGATACACTATCCGGAACCGTGTCTTCAATATGGAAGCGCCTCTTCAGAAGTAGTTTGGATTCGTTCACCTATACGCCACTGCATGACGATGATGAGATACGTCTCCTCATTCTTGCGCCGCGGCCTCGCAATAGTGAGCCATTTGGCAGTCGTCGGCTTGGTGACAGTATTCAACATGTTCGTCTCTCAGCCTCGCCCTTGTATACTGCCATATCTTGGATGTGGGGCAAGCATGGCGATCGAGTCGACTTTGAAGTTGATGGTCATACTCTGAGGGTGCAACGAAACTTGAAAAGGATCATTCAACACTTACGACATGATTCTCAAACCCGTCGAGTATGGATCGACGCTGTCTGTATCGATCAAAAGAGCATACAGGAGCGCAATCATCAAGTTCAAATGATGGGCAAAATCTACGGAAACGCCAATTATGTCGTTGCTTGTTTGACTGATACGAATGCCTTAATAAGAAACCCATTTGACCTACAAACACACAAGAACGCTAGTTCCCTCACCCGTCGTGAGGCTTCGGATTTACACAGCACGTTGTATTACACGCTACACGAGACAGAGGAGATGGGTATTATAGGCAGCTCTAGTCGTTACCCGAACCCCATCTCCCAGTGGAGCCGCTTCCTCGAGAATGAGTACTTCACCCGCCGCTGGATAATCCAAGAAATCACTCTAGCCCAATCAGTCACATTCTGCTGTGACGGATATCTAATGCCGATGAGCACCGTCAGGGAAGCCATCCAGAGCTCGAGAATAAGGAGACCGGACAGCGGTCCTTCTGAGTTGCACCATCAAGCTATGCGGCTTTGTTCCACAGACCCACAGACATCGTCTTACACCTCAATGGAAGATCTCCTGTATTTGCACGAAAGGGCAGAGTGCTCGGATTTTCACGACAAGGTCTATGCATTAATTTCACTGACCCCTAATGCACAAGTTCATCTCCCAGTTGATTATAATGCCAGCCGGGCCCAGCTTCTGCTGACGGTCTTCAATTTCTCCCTCACATACCAAGACTTGTCAACTTTCCGAATCCTGGGCTTCATGTCCTTCCTTCGACAACATCTTGAAGTTAGCAGGGAAGAGCTGCACGGCAGCATCCACGATCCCGAGACTCCATTGTACTCTACCAATATCGCCGTCCGGGGTATCGTGCGCGGTTGGATCTCAACTGCCCATCCCGGGCTTCGTGAGGAAGAGACAGCCCTTCGAATCCGCGACCGATTGCCTGCCCTTTTCCCTCTCCGCAGACTTTTACTGAACGAGAAAGGGCCTGAACCAGTAGTCGAAATCGATCAGGAGGGCTTGGGGGACCCGCAGCCTGGTGCAATCGTCGGGATTCCCGGAATTGACCAGAATCTATTTACCTTGACCAACCATAAACCTGGAGACTCAAGGAATGGAGACTCAAGCGACCGGGCTACAGGCTGGGGATCGCCGCCGAAGTACAAGCCCACCACCCAGAGCTCTGTTTGTGCCGGTCTTGCGTGCACCAGAGTCCAGTATGGCGACGAGATCTGGCAATTTGAAGACACACCCGTGGCTGTCATAGCACGCAAGACTCCACGAGGCTACTCGTGGATAGGACGAGCTTTCCTCATCCGTGACCACCAAAGAGATAGGTCATCATTAGAGAATTCAATAGCGTGGATCAGGGACAGCACAAAACATTCACGGGCCACGCCCGTCATCCACGTTGATTTGAAGGGGCTGTACGAGCTGATGACTTGGGTCAACCTCGACCAATAACGAAAGCCATTTTCATCCCTGATAAAGGATTACCTTGTAACAGGACAGCTAGGGTAGGATTGAATAGGCAACAGCCTAAAATGAGTGGACTACACCCACTGCTTCCACGGGCGCCCATCTACAGACTACACGGGCTGAATGCAAGTTGGTCTAATCTATCAGAAGCTACTCCCCTTGTTACGAAGGACCGATCAGTCACTCGAGCGTCACAGCTCTTGACACGTGATTTGACACGTGATAGAAACCAGTGAGAACTTGTCGCAACCTCGAGAAGACGAGGGAAATAATCCAGCCTATCAAGGTTGAGAGGCAAAGCTTCGGGCTTTAAAAGCCCGGAGTATACCTAATTTTAGTGTCACCTTCGAACTATCAGTGAATTCATTGTTCTGCAAGAACCGGATACCTTAACTACATCACAAACTTTCGAGATACAGAATCTCCCGTGTCCCACTGTCTGGTGATCTATCTATAGCTATTGACAGCGGCAAGTCATTTGACAAGGCTGCTCGACGGGCACCACACTCTCCAGTATTCATCCAAAGTACTTCTTTTCCGGACTCTGGTATAAACATCCAATATCCATTTGAGGAAGGTCATGACATCTTCTTTGCTGGCGTGTATAAGCAAGCGAAGCCTGTCTTCTCCTGGAAACTCACAATGACTGGTCATGTCGTCAGCAGCGTCTTCCCTCCACAGGTCCCCCATAGAGTGCATCCCACTTACCGTGTCCACTCCTTCATCACTTCCTAAATATTTTCCTTCGTGGAGTCTGCATGTGACTTCTTCACAGCACCCTTCTCAGCGAGTTGTTAACGATGTCGTCGATAGTGCTCTGCCGAATACTGGGCTGCTAGTCTCTGAGCGCGGGGTTTTACGGCCATACTGCCTCAGGGGAGATCCTCTTTTTCCCTCACTCCTTCTCTTTACTACCAGCGGTAGATGATGCGAGGCCGGCACTGATAAGTAAGAGAAGGTCAGGAGAGAAATTGGTCACAGACAGTAAATTGATAAGACTCTCGGCGTCGGGTCTAGACATCAAAAGTTGGGGAGAGTCGCCGGAATGTATGAAAGGAGGGAAATGAGAGGCGGCTTGAGTCGATTTTGCGAAGCATCTGTCGAAGTTCTCGCTGTGGCTTTGAGGAAATCTCAGAGAGGGAGCATCCTCGTCGGGTCCTCGAGGTGCCATGGTCAGGGTAGGGGAGTCGAAGGCGCCCATCGTTCTCGAAGAGCGGGACAGATCCCTTGCTGATTCTGAAGGGGGACTGTTTCTCGTCCCCATCGATGGTTGCATGGTTGCGTGGTGCATGAGGGCAAGTCGGCCTGAGCAATGGACGGAGGATGATTTGGGTAGACTGAGATGCGGTGAAGGGTGGGGAGGATGCAGGGGACCTGATCTTAGCATCGAGGGAAGAAGACCTTCAAAAGCGGCGTTGCTGGCCGCCAAATTCGGCGGGAAATTTCCCTGCAACCTGCGTTGAGCTGTAAAAACACCAAATAGAAATGATGATGACCGGAAAGACACGCTACGAGATACTAAATATGGAATAGTGAGCATTTCCTCTTATTAACCGCTACTTGTGCAAGTCTAGCGAGGCTTGGCAGCTTGGCATCAGCGGAGAAATGCTATATAGGGAGCCTCGCTCCCCCTTTCCAAAGACGCACCTGTTCCAACGAGTTTCCGCTTCTATCCTTCATCTGCGACCTGTACGATTCCCAAGTACGAAAAAGTTCGTGGCTGATGCTTTCCTCCCCGCTTCTCCTCATACATTTCAACAAAGTCCTTCCCCACTGCCCGGCCTCTCCTTCTCCCAGAGACACTCTTTACCCTTTTACGTCCGTTCCAGGTCGTCGACCACTCGTGTCGACTAGCGCTGGCAGATGTGCACTTCGTGTCTCATTTCGATGAGTGGCCCAAAAGTGGCCAATACGAGGTCTCAGGTCGCCCATCTGACGTCTGACAACCCCAGACGAAGCTGAGCAGCGGGTCTCCTCTTGCCTCGCACCAAAGCTCGCACCATCTGCTGGCTCGTGCGAAGCAAAAACTTTCATGACTTGTTCCTCAACGACGGCTCTCGCCCTGTCCCAGTGTGGTCAAAGGTAGGTCTTTAGTGTGGACCATTCCACTGGCTGATCTTGATGCATCACGATGCTTTTTTTGCGGAAATCCACCTCCCATGCAGTGGATGTGCTAGTCACTGGATATCCAATCAATGTTCCACACAAGACGAAGCCCGCTGGTCTTCCTGACAAATCTCGACGACCCTGACCAACTGGAGTATCTCTCGTCCGAATCTACTACTCTTTTTCAACATGACGACAGGAACTATACCTTTTAGGAGCACGCGTACTTTTCAGTATTGGAGGGGTTAAAGCTTCAGCCAGGTTACGGGAACCTTGCAATGAAGTGCTTGTGGGTATCACACCACCCAGATGTAAGCTGGGCTTCTGCAGAGCTATTCGAAACGGCTTGGGCGCGTCGTTTAGGCTGTTCCGTGCGAGGGTGTGATGTGTGAATCGAGAGGGAATCTTCTGCACCTTGTCCTGAGGCATGATATAAGGCCCGCAGCACCCCGCGCCCACGAGCAGTCTTTCTCGATTCATTCAACTAACGGCCAGGATGGAGATACGCAACCGACCGGATGAATGGAAAATCGAACAAGGCTTGTCTGGGGCTAAGCTGCCGTTTCTGGATCAGACGGGCCCTGAACCAGTGTTTATCCAGCCCAGAGCATGGCCGGAGTTGACCAAGGACCAAGCAGCCATCGATGCTGTAGGTAACCGTGATGAGCTGTTTACTCGCGAACTCGAAGGATGGAAAGGGTGCGTAACCTCCCTAGGCTGGGGACAATGATTGACTCGGTCTTAGATACGTGGAATGGGAGAAATACCCAGAGAAGAAGGAAAAGGCGCACAAGATCCTGACCTCCCAGGTCTTTCCGCCAAATCCGGAGTTTCAAATGGGACCTATTCCAGACACGAACCCCGTACTCCCAGGCATACACTGGAAAATGTGGCACCACGCAGTCGGCGGTGAGCTTACTGATGTCCCTGAAGACTCTTGGAGCACTGTCCTTCGCGAAAAGCACCCGGAGATGCTTCATCTGCTGCAGTTCCCCTACAATGGAGAACCTCCCAAGAGGCTGGTGACCGACAAAGCGGTGACGCCGAATTCGCTTCACTTTGTGCGAAACCACGGCGGCATTCCACTCATCGACAAAGACAAATGGAGGCTGGATTTGGACGGGTTAGTCAAGAATCCGCGAACGTTCACCTTTGACGACATCACGGACGAGTCGAAATTTCCTCGTATCGAAAAGTTTGTCACGATGCAGTGCTCGGGGATCCGACGAATTGAGCAAATCTCCCTCTATGCAGGCCAGGGAGATGAGGTCCCTCAGGCTCCATGGGCCGAGGGGGCCATAGGTACAGCGAAATATCTCGGGATCAACCTGAAGGATGTCATAGAAGCCTGTGGGGGTCTCATCAAACCAGCAAAACATCTCGAGCTCTACGGTGCCGAGACCTACTTTAAGGACAACGAAGGCTAGTACGGTTGTGAGGACGAGGACCTTGGAGGGCAATGTTGGCTAATGAATTAATTAGTCATGAACTACGTGGTGAGCGTCCCATGGTCCAAAGTCAAATACGACGAAGTTCTCCTCTGCTGGGAGATGAACGGGGAGCCACTCCCAGCCATTCACGGCTATCCGGTGAGAATCATGGTGCTGGGGTATATTGGTGCTCGAAGCGTGAAATGGGTGTACAGGATCAAGGCTATTGAGAATCCTTCACTCGCACCAGTCCAAAGCAAAGAATATCTCTATTTCAAGTAAGTTTGTTTGGACTATTGCCCTCTTTGCCACGCCCCAGGCTGACCAGAAATAGCCAGCAGACGGGCAAGCACAACCAACAACCAACGGACGGCATTCAGATCCAGGAAATGCCCGTGAGCTCCGCCATCATGTCTCCGTGGACCAAGCAAGTGGTGATTCATAACGGCAAGATTCACTGTAAAGGATGGGCGTATTCAGGCGGTGGGAGATGGCCGGAGCGTGTCGAACTGTCGGCCGATGGGGGTTTCAGCTGGTATGCAGTGCCCAACGCCAACCTCTCCAAGAAGGGCAAATGGACGTGGAGGACGTGGTCGATTGATCTCCCCTGCGACGTGGAAGGCTGGATCGAAATCGTCTGTCGATGCTGGGACAGCTCGTTGAATACGCAACCCCTGACGGTCCGTGCGGCATGGAATTGGGGACTCCACGTCACGCATTCAGCACACCGAATCAGCGTCTATAGTATCAACAAGACTCGAGAGCGCACGGCAGAGAAGCTGAAGCAGTTCGAGGCCACCGGCTCGCCTTTGGCGCCTCTCACCTGGCCCGAGGAATTCCCCACGCAGAGCTGGGATGACTACAAGAAATTCTGGGAGGAGAACGAGCCTCGGGACGTGGATTGAATGAGTGGGATGGGTATACTTGCGGGGAATTTCTCTGTCCATCCTTACTGCTGCTGCTGTACACGAGTAACTTGATCAACATGACGCCAAGTACTATATTTGATACCGCCTACCACTTTACTTGGCTGCAACCATCGTGATCGTGGGCCAAAGCTATGGACAATATGGATCGACAGCAAACACTACTCCCTTGACGACCCTCGCTCAACAGGTCCAACTGGTCGAAAGTTTCTGCATCTTTGAGTTTTCCCCTCCCCACGCTCATCTGCAAAGCGACTGGTGTCTAGGCACCCTAGGCTAGAAATCATGCACTCTAAACCCCTTGCAGGATTCGCAAGCTGGCCATTGGATGCGAGTTACCGAGTAGCTTGAAAGCTTCTGCCCCCTTGGGTTGACATGCCCCAGCTCGTCAGGGACTAGAGCATTCGCGCGAAGGCTTCGTGCGAAAGGCTTTCGACACCACAACCGACCCTTGCACATGTTCGGGGATACCAACTGATCCCAACCATTGTCAAGTGGGGGATTTTTGGAGTCCCATGCTCCAGTCTTCACGTCTCGCATTGAGCGGCAGCCCCGGACTGCAAGCATGGGATGTCGTTGGCCTGACCGAAACGCAGCAAATCGAGTGCGAGCCATTTGACAATCAACTTCTCGACTCGGAGCGTGTCGAGAACTATGCACAGTCAGTGGTCGCAGGGCTGGTGACAAATCTCCCGGGATTAGACTCTGCTCAATGTATCGAGATGGTGTCGTACTTGGGTACATGGGTATATGATGTATAAGTATACTGCAGAGGGCCGTCACCACTTCAAGTGCATCTCATCAGAAGATCCGTGGAGATATCCCCGTGACACCAACTTGGTCCAAGCAGAGCAGACATGTCTCAGCCTCACTATACTCTCGCCGAGGGTATCCCCCTGCCTCGAAACGACATCATCGACCAACTACCCACGGGATCAGGAGGTGGTTATGTCCTCTTGACAAGCACCCAGCTGCTCGAGAACCTCGCACACTTTTCTCGTGAGAGAATCCCCGAACGGACGGTCCACGCAAAGGCCGCGGGCGCCAGGGGCTACTTTGAAGTGACGGACGATGTGTCGGACGTGACAGACGCAGACTTTCTCAATGGCATCGGCAAGAAGACGGAGGTGTTGATGCGCATCTCGACCGTCGGTCCTGCACGAGGCTCTGCCGACACGGTTCGCGATTTTCGCGGGTTTGCCATCAAGTTCAAGACCAACGAGGGCAATCAGGACTGGGTGTTTAACAACCAGGTACTCTCACTTCCTCCCTTCTTCTGTACGTGGCCAACGCAGAAAAAAAAAAGCTTACATGAAGTTGGTATTACTTCTGACCAGCCCGTCTTCTTTGTGCGCGACCCGGTCAAGTTTCCGTCGCTGAATCGAAGCCACAAACCTCACCCGACCACCAACGCTGCCGACGCCAGCATGTTCTGGGACTTCCACGTCAACAACCAGGAGAGCATCCACGCGCTCATGTTCCTGTTTGGCGACCGGGGCCTACCGTCGTCGGTGCGCCACGTCAACGGCTACAGCGGCAACACGTACAAGTTCACGCGCGACAATGGCGCCTCGTACGTCTACACGCGCATCACGTTCAAGACGGTCCAGGGGATCCATTACTACACCAACGCCGAGGGCGCCGCGATCGCGGGCACGGACCCGGACGCGCACCTGCTCGACCTCCAGGGCGCCATCGGCCGCGGGGACTTCCCGAAATGGGACGTGTACATCCAGGTGATGCGGCCCGAGGAGATTGCGCACGCGCCCGTCAACATCTTCGACATGACCAAGGTGTGGCCCAAGGGGCTGTACCCGCTGCGCAAGGTCGGGCGGGTGACGCTCGACACGAACCCGAAGAACTGGTTCGCCGAGATTGAGCAGGCCGCCTTCAGCCCGAGCAACATGGTGCCGGGCATCGCGCCGTCGCCGGACCCCATGCTCCAGGCCCGCATGTTCGCGTACCCGGACGCCGCCCGCTACCGGCTCGGCGTCAACTACCAGTTCCTGCCGACCAACGCCCCCGTCCCGACCGTCTACTGCCCCATCGAGCGCGACGGCTTCATGAACTTCACCCCGAACTACGGCGGCGACCCGAATTACCTGGGCACGCGGCTCAAGCCGGTCAAGTTCTCGGACCGCACGAGCAACGCCAACGTCGTCAGCACAGACTTTCTCAACCAGAAGGGGCAGGAACAGCAACAGCAGAAACTAAAGAACCTCAGTCTCGGCCGTCCAGACGAGGTCCAGATCCCCACCCCCATCGCCGCATTCACCCAGGTCGACGACCACCGCGACTTTGAGCAGCCCGTCGCGCTGTGGCGGATCATGGCCGGCCAGGAGGGCGCGCAGGCCCGGTTTGTCGACAACGTCGCCGCCCACGTCAGTGGCGTGGGGGAGAAGTGGTTGCGGGATGAAGTCTACGGTATGTCTCTTTTCGGTGGTGGTGGTGGTCTACAAATTCAATCCAATCATCATTACTCCCTCGTCCTAACCTACCTACCTACCCCCCTTCCTCCTGGCCGCGTGTTACGATACGATGGATTTTTCAGGGAGAAGATCCAGAGTGGCACATAACTGTCTGGCTGACTGACTGACTGACCGGTGGTGTTATACAGCCATGTTCGCCAAAGTCGACGCCCACCTCGGCGATAGGATCCGGCAGGTCGCAGAGTCAAAGATCGACAATGACCATAAACACCCGCACAAGTCGGCGTGGCATTGATTCACTGTGAGAAGCTGAGATTCCTCGGACGGACTGGAAGGTGATGCCTATTCACGACTGGGGGCTGGTGGTGGGAGATTATAACATCCTGAGGTATGAAATGGTACCGGTACCGGTGCTGGTGCTGGTGCTGGTGCTCTAGTAGGGCGTGCCGATCAGGATAATACCAGAGTTCTACATATTACTACCTAGGTAGGTAGGCAGGTAGGTAGGTACCCGGGTATCTAGCTAGCTACAAAAACCAGATACTAAGAAAGTGAGAATGAAAATGAAAATGAAAAAGTATGATCATTGCCATTCAGTCCACCTCCTCAGACGACATGACACACCAACTACCACCATCCCAGGGTCATCCTCATTCGAGGTATAGAATAGGCAACTTTGAGCACGTCGTACACAAGCTATAACTTTTGATTCAATTACATGCTCTGGATCGCTTCACGGCATCAGACCAATCGACGGCCCCAGTGCCGTGTCCCAAGCGTGCCAGTCAAAGTCGACTTGGTCGTAGAGCATTTGGCCGGGAGCCTGATCGCCCTGGTTGTCGCCCTGCATGTCCTGTGACAAGGGAGGAACTGGCGGCCGTCCCTCCCCAGGCCTGGTCCGGTGCATCGCCTGCTGGTGGGCCGCAGCCTGGCTCTCGACCGCCGAGATCCTTTCGCCGCAGATGCATCGGCTCGACAGCACCGCGTTGGACGGGAACAGTACGTGGTAGTCCATGCCGACCTGCTCCAGGGCCTTGCGCCGCGTCCTTACCAGCATGGTCCACGCGTCTCGTCCGGACGGCGAGAGCTGGCGTCGAGGCGGGTCACTCTGGCTGACGATGCCCTCGTCCACCTGGTAGAGTTCGAAGATGGCGTCGATCAAGCCTCGTGAGAGAGCGGCGTCGTCGCTGTACGGGTGCTGTAGCAGGTCGGCGAGAAGGAGTGAAACCGCCTGCAGAGGCTGGTAGGTGCCCGGGTACATCCAATGGAAGGGCTCAGAGATGGGATCGTTGCAGACACGAATAAACACCTGGATAAATGCTTGTGCATGTTTGACCGCACTGTGAGCTGGTTAGCCGTGGGATATCAGTAAAACAGGACTGCCTTGAGGTTCTTACTTTGTTCGAATGTTTTCGTCGGCCACCATCGCAGGATCCCTGAACAGCGGATGGTAAAGGACACAATACGCCTTGTGGACCATTAGGTGCAACAGGAGCGCAGACCAGGCCGTAAAGTCAACCACCTCCTTATCGCTCGGGTCTGGTCGAAGAGTCCACACCCGATCAAAGTCAAGCATAAGCGGCACTTGATCAAAAGGACGAGGAGTCGCAGATCTCGCGGCTTTGCCCTCAGCAGCACCTCTGGCCTTGAGCAACGTGTCGACTGTAGCACTGGTGCGGTCAGCTATCGTTCGAAGGCGGCCAGCGCAGTCTGCAACCACTTCCAGCGATTGAAAGGCGTCTTCGAAATGAAGCACGAGGACTCGTCTAATCTCCCTAGTAATTTCGTAACGGCGAGACGCCACCAAATAGCGAACGTCGACTGCAATAAGTCAGCAAAGATCGTAAGATCACTGGCACAAAAAGTCTGCTTACTTTCTTGTCTAGCACTTGGATCGTCGTTCTGAACGTCGTATTGACAGATGGAATCCGTGTTGGCCATTTTCTGGTTGATAAAGAGGGGTGAGAGTCCAGATGAAGATGAAGACATGACATCCAGGTGAAGGATGTACCACCAAAGCCGCCGTCTAGTTTCCAACTCGGAGGGAGGTAGCCCTGATTCTGGGAGCTGGCGGTGTAAGCCCATGCCTAGCGCAACACGAAACGAGGTCGCAATGAAGTCGGGAGCATCCGAGAATTCCTCTTCCCTCACGAACTGGCTCTGTGCAATGATGTAAGCTGCCAGAGAGTAGATGCTCGGCCGTCGAGGGAAGCCGGTGAGGCTAGCCGAGGCCATGGCAATGAAGTACATATCTCCAGGATTGAGAGTGGTGGGCTCCCCGAAGATACGCTCCAGACGAGCTGGCGCGGCCGAGAAGACTGCCGCAAACAGAATGGCAGATAAGAGAGATAGAAATCCCGGCTTTTTGCGCATAAAGACGCTCGGCTCAGCGTTGTGCACATTCGCGGGGGGAATGCCATCCCAGAACGTTCTGAAATCCTCTGCAAAACTCTTCATGTGGAAAATAGGCGTCAGAGGAAAGACGGTCGAGAAGAAAAACCCGCACAGCTTCTCACAGATTTCTCGATCGGGTAGCAGAGCCATGACACACGAGATATTGTAGTTCCTCCCACAGAACTTGCACTTGTTCGACGACGGCTGGGACCATTCAAAGCCACAGTTGCGCGGAGGACGAAACTTCTGGCCGCTCCATTCGAGACCTCCATCCTGCATCCTGCCCGGAAATTTAGGGAATGGGCTGGTCTCGCCGAGGACCGTGGGCACCGTGTCGCTGTTGATCTGGGCGACGGTCAGCGAAAGCAAAGTTGACGGAGAAGAAGTCCACCAAAGTGAAAAGGGCTAGGATGCTCAAGTACCTCCGAAGGGATTGCATTTGCCCAATAGGTTGAGCCTACATAGGCCGAGCGGCCACCATCATAGACAGAAAGCTGTCCTCTCTCAGGGCCGATCTGCCTGGGCACAGGCTCTGCAGGCGCTGGTCCGGGTCATTAATTTGGCTGATTGACGAGTTCGCCAGTGGCAAGGGACACTTACGCTCAATATGAGGTCCTGTTCCCCTCACTTCCTCCGGTCTTGCATGGCTTGTGGCGGACGAAGATGGGAGCTGTGCTGTCGATGCGCTTTGCCAGGTAGACAACTGGGGAACTGCACTTGCACTGGTGCTCGCACTCGCACTCGCACTCGCGGTGCCGCTGCCGCTGCCGCTGGCACTCCCGTCGTAGACACATTCGGTGCCACCTGCAAGACAGCGCCCACAAGTAGGATGCACCTGAAATGCATACATTAGTACATCCTCCATCGGCTCGACATGAGTCCAGGATTCCATTGTGCTAACCCGGTCACACTTGACTCTTTTTGCCCGACAAGGCAGGCACGAAGTGACCGGCCGTAACCTTTTCTTTCCGTCCATTGGGGTTGAAATATTGTCGACCTTTGTTATGGGAGTGAACATGGGCGTTTCATTTGAATATACGTCAATGGTTTCTTAGGACCCATTTAAACCATCGGTGGTATCCCAAAGGGCGCCATAACCAAGATCCTAGCCCGTCGACCAAGATCTTGACCCACGAGCTTGGTGCAATTTTCCACAGGGCGGCATCCGGCCGGAGGTCGGATATCCATCGGCAAAGTGGTTTAGTCGGAGATTCATCATCCACTCCCTGTGGCCAACCTTTTGCAGGGGTTGCAACCAGAGGCAGGCCAGGCTCCGCAAGCCATGGGTACCGTAGCTTGAACGATCGACATGTTAGGAGAGAGACACTGTCCTTCTTCGCGCCGTTGGCGGGTACTTGTTACAACTATGGTCACAGTTAGACAGGTCAGTGACAGAAAGAAGCAGCATTCCCAATCGCCCTCTTCAGGGGAATTGTAGCCTCATGGACGATAGTGGACTCGAGCAGGATGTTACAGTGAATGCGAGCAATTGCCGGCTTGAGCCAAGAGCATCTTCGCAAACGAAAATAAGAAAGAGATTGAAACCTTGCGCATGCGTTCTCTCTTGCGCGACATTTTTGTTAGATTTCGCGCTCATGGATTTACCTTTCCCCGGACCGGATAAACATTGCGGCGCTCCGTTCCGGCCAAAAGTCGCTCCTTATTGTGATTGGCTCATGACCGAACAGCGCCTTGGTGCATCATTTGGCTTCTCCAGCATCAACTTGTCGCCTGCGCAATTACAACCTTTTAACTCGTTGACTTATTGTCCTCTGCCGACCGCATAGTCTTACTGCGACGGCCGCCATGATGGAGGCACCGCACATGGCCTTACGAAATTTGCCCCGGCGGGCCTCTAGGCTTGCCGCTTCACTTCGACATGCGGACCGTTCGACTGCTGCTCTAGCTTACTCCCCGATGGCCATATGGAGCCGAAGACAGTTCGCTACGACTCCCAGTGTACCATTTCCAGGCGGCCCTATGGGTATAGGCGGCTCCAGTTCCTCTCCGACATACTTCCAACGCCAGACGAGCCTACCCGCGAACACCATTATCCGATTCGTACCGCAGCAAACAGCATGGATTGTGGAGCGTATGGGAAAATTTAATCGGATATTGGAGCCTGGGTTGGCTATTCTCGTCCCGATCATCGATGTATGGAAAATTTTCTTGGAATCTCAAAAGCAGGGGCTGACACACGAGGGAAGCGCATCGCCTATGTTCAATCGTTGAAAGAAGCGGCCATCGAGATCCCCAGCCAGAGTGCCATTACTGCAGACAATGTCACCTTAGAATTGGATGGCGTGCTTTACACAAGAGTATTTGATGCTTACAAAGCGAGGTAAGCCAGAAGGAAGCTCAAAGGTGGAATGGACTTTTGCTGAAGGACGATCTAGTTACGGTGTTGAAGATGCGGAATATGCCATCTCCCAGCTAGCCCAGACGACCATGAGGTCCGAAATCGGTCAACTCACATTGGACCACGTTCTCAAGGAAAGGGCGAATCTTAACGCAAACATTACGCAGGCGATCAACGAGGCCGCACAAGAGTGGGGCGTCGTATGCTTGAGATACGAAATAAGGGATATCCATGCTCCGGAAGGTGTCGTGGCGGCCATGCACAGGCAAGTCACAGCAGAGCGATCAAAACGAGCCGAGATTTTAGATTCCGAAGGTCAGCGGCAGAGTGCAATCAACATCGCCGAGGGTCGTAAACAATCCGTGATTTTGGCGTCTGAGGCATTGAAGGCCGAGCAGATCAATATGGCATCTGGTGAGGCTGAGGCTATCCTGCTCAAGGCACAGGCAACTGCACGGGGTATCGATGCCGTTGCGGATGCTATCAAACGCGGCGAAGCCAATGCCCAGGGCGCCGTCAGTTTGAGCGTCGCAGAAAAGTATGTTGAAGCTTTTGGCAACCTGGCCAAGGAGGGTACTGCCGTCGTGGTTCCAGGTAATGTCGGAGACATTGGCCAGATGATTGCTACGGCTATGGCGGTATATGGCAAGGTCAACGAGAATCAAACCAAGAATCTGGCGGGCAGGGTTATTGGTGCGTCGTCGGACAAAGACGAGTCTAGTTCGAAAGACGTTGGGGCCAGGGTGATTGAGGCGGCCCAGCACGGGAATGCAAAAGACGTCGCGCAGACAGTGCTTGAAGGGTTTGAGCAGACGCGAGAAGCGAGAAAGTAGGAGGACATATCAACGGCACATCAATGCGAATTTATCATGTCGGGAAAGCGAACACTCGACTCCTTCATGACGCAGCGACGGCGCTCCTGCGTGTATTACTTGACATGGACTGAGAGGGAAAAAAGTCGGTAGCTATGTACCAGTATACCAGAGAGTCCCAGGACCCTCAGGAAAAGCACAAACAAAATACAAATGTAATGGGATATCTGTATCTCTACCCGCTCTTAACTAGCCTCAATGTCGTTCAGCCTTATTGGTCAAGCCTCGCCCCGTATTAATTAAAGTGAAGCATGTCATGAAATGCCAGACCGTGAACTGCGGAGTGCGGACGCGGACTGGCGAAACTACATTTCAACGAGACCAGAATTTCTACTCCCCTACAAACTCGCGCGTCAGCCTTTTCACACATTCAACTTGATTCTGATTTTACTGTCGCAGGATGGCCTAGTCACCTCTCCCTCCAGAATGTGCTCCCACCCGCGACAAAGATAGATCCGCAATGCACATCATCAAGCCCATCTGGCTCACCCACGGAGGTTCGACACTTTCCACCCCCAAAACCCCTTGTGCACGCGTCGCAAACCGCGTAGACTGTGTCGCATCCACATATGCCCTTGGTTCGTCGACTAACACTTACTTCTGAATAGGCGAAAAGAAAGATTTCGAGGTCTACAGCTGCCATGTCTCCCCCGACGGCAAGCGCCTGGTCACCGCAGCCGGCGGTACGTGAACATTGGCACATCATGACAAAGAGTTTCTTCACTGATTGAATGGATTGAAAAGATGGCTACGTGCGAATCTGGTCCACCGAGGCCATTTACAATGCCGCGAATGCGAAATACGACAAGCCTAAGCAGCTGGCGTCGATGAGCTACCACTCGGGCACCATTCACACCGTGCGCTTCTCACCCGGCGGGAAATTTCTGGCGTCAGGGGCAGATGACAAGATTGTCTGCGTGTATACTCTGGACCCGAGTCCTCCAACCCATGCCACATTCGGTGCGTCGAGTTGCGGCCGGCTGGCGCAGTCAGTGAGACAAATACTGAGATTGAGACAGGTTCAAACGAGGCCCCTCCGGTCGAGAATTGGCGCATCTTCCGGAGATTGATCGGACACGATAACGATGTACAAGATTTGGGCTGGTCATACGACGGGACGATCCTGGTGTCGGTGGGATTGGATTCAAAAGTGGTGGTGTGGTCAGGCTTTACCTTTGAAAAGTTGAAGACACTCTCGAATCATGCCAGCCATGTCAAAGGCATCACTTTTGATCCTGCCAATAAATACTTTGCGACCGCAAGCGACGACCGAACGATCCGGATATTTCGATTCACCTCTCCCACGCAGAATTACACGACTCACGATGCAGTAAACAACTTTACCCTCGAGACGACCATCAGCCAGCCTTTTGTCAATTCCCCTTTGACAACATACTTCCGCAGATGCTCCTGGGCTCCCGACGGAATGCATATCGCGGCGGCCAACGCGGTGAACGGTCCTGTCAGCGCGATTGCCATCATCAACCGTGGTACGTGGGACGGCGACACCACCTTAATTGGACACGAAGGTCCAGTGGAGGTGTGCGCGTTTTCTCCAAGACTCTACGGACCAGAGCCTCCTTCCAAGTATGCCCACGAAGATCATCCTACGCCTCACACGACGGTAATTGCATGTGGAGGGGCAGATAAGTGTCTGAGCATTTGGACCACTAGTAGTCCTCGGCCCATTGTCGTTCAGCAAGATGTAGCTGGCAAGCCAATCTCTGATATTTCTTGGAGCCCGGATGGCCAAACCCTGTTCGCCACCGCATTGGATGGCACTATTTTGACCGTAATGTTTGAAGTGGGAGAGTTGGGCTACGCAAGACCCATCGAAGAAAACGACAGATCACTCTCCAAGTACGGCACATCTAGGAAGGGAATAGGATTCCCGGAAAGCACTGATGCGCTCTTGCTTGAAGAAATGAGCAAGGCTGGCGAGATCAAGGGCGTGGAAGGACGCATGGGCGCCTTGATGGGGGATCTCCATTCCTCACTACCAGCGACAGCAGAAAAGCCATCTGTCACCACGAATGGTACAATTACAACCACCCAAAACCTCTCAAATGGAACTGCGGAAATCAATGGGCAAGCCGCAGCAAAGGCACAAGACGACCAAAACCAGGCCAAACTCGAGAGACTCAAGAATCGAGTCGAAATCACTAAGGATGGTAAGAAGAGAATACGGCCTCTATTGGTATCTGGTGCCGGCGGGACGGAGTCTTCCCTGCCACAGACGAAGCTGGTCAGTGCCAGTGCGAATGTTCAAGCGGTAGACGCCCCACAGACCGTGTTGGACCTTTCTAAACCGTTCGACGGGCTTCCCAAAGGTGGCCTGGCGGCATTATTGCTTGGGAATAAACGAAAATACGCACAGATCGAGGGTGAAGAAGAGGGCACTGCCGAGAAACGAGTGGTGGCAGCAAGTCAGAAGGGAGCTACACCCATTCTCGTTAACGGCGCGGATGGACTTCTCCCAGCACAACACCAACCAGCTGCAAGCGGCCAACAGGTGACTCCAGAGTTCATACGACCAGCTGTCATCAACCAGGCGCTGAGCGTGAGTCAACTTCGACTTGCCGTCCCCAAAGTGCGCACCCATGTCGTGCTGGGGATTGATGCCACAGGAAAACCAGGTGACATGTCTGGCGACACGGCGAGCAAGTCCAGAGCCGAATTCGTCTTCGAGGCCAAGAATCCCTCGGGACAATCACTGACACCCAGAGCGCAGGATCGTGAACCGTGTCGGATCACTTTGACGAGGAAAGATCAGCCTCTGTGGCAGGATTTCCTTCCTCGTCCAGTTCTTTTGGTCACAGGTACCAGATCGTTTTGGGCGGCGGCGGATGAGACAGGCTCTTTATACCTGTGGACGCCACATGGCCGGCGGCTGAATAGTGCTCTGGTCATGGAAGCTCAACCAGTGATCCTGGCGTCCTACGATTCTTGGCTGATGTGCATCACTGCGGTCGGTGTCTGCTATGTTTGGAATGTCAAAACCATGTCATCTCCACATCCACCCGTGTCGCTGGCACCTGTACTTGACGCGGCGGTCCATTCACTGGCTGCTCACCCGACAGGTGCGCCTGCGATTACACAAGCTCGTTTGAATTCCGAGGGTAGGATTATCGTTTCCCTGTCCAACGGTGACGGGTATGCGTACTCGCCGCAGATGTACTGTTGGCAACGGCTATCCGAGGTTTGGTGGGCGGTGGGCAGTCAGTACTGGAACACGACCGACTCTTCCGTGGGCAACATCCAGTCTTCGAAAGCAAAGACCGACTTCGAAAAATCCGTGGACGTGTCTTCAGGTATCGTGCCGTGGCTGGAGAGAAACACGACATCGGAGACGTTGCTGCGAGGTCGAGCATACTTCTTACAGCGACTCATCAAGGTGTTGTTGTCACGAGAAGGCTTTGAAAGTTTCGAGTCCGGTGTGTCGATTGCTCATCTGGAAAACCGCATCGCCGCAGCGCTCATGCTGGGCGCAAAGGACGAATTCCGGATATACCTACTCATGTATGCAAAACGATTGGGCGCCGAAGGTTTGAGGTTAAAGGTCGAAGAACTACTGAGGACACTGATCGGCGGCATCGTGGAACCGTCAGGTCAAGACGGGGAGAGTGTCGCGGCGACCATAAACGCTGTGGAAGGCCGCAACTGGCAGGAAGACTCCAAGACGATTTGTGGATGGTCTCGAGAAGAGCTGCTCAAAGATGTTGTCCTACTTCTTGGTGAGGATCTCTTGCTCCCTGTCCAGGCTTGTGGATATGCAGTGACTAACTATTCGAACAGGAAAACATCGAGATTTGCAGAGAATCACTGTACCTTATGCAAAAATGTTACATATCATGGACGACATGCCCGAGGATCAAGATCAAATGGCTTTGTAAACGTGGTCTATGCTTGGGAGGCGCATGAACTGGTTGAGAGTTTCAAGGTTGTCAGTGGCTTGAAGGTAAAGCACGGATTGAAGCGCCAGCACGAGGAATGGGAAAAGGCATCGTTTCCGCGGTTCAAGAATTAATGAATGGGGTTGGCATGACTTTTGTGACTTCAAAGGCCGGTTTGTGATGGAAAACTGAACTTCACTTGACTACCTCGATTGCAAACTCCTCAAAACCCATCTGTATTGCTTCAGCTTCTACTCTGCCGTTCATCACTGCTTTGTCCGTCCGCCATGGATCCATCCTATTTCACGACGCCGCCAGGTCAGCGACTCCAATCCCTCAGTCTGCCCTCGTCTGTCACCGCCGTCAACTCGGGCTCCAGCGCTGCGAGTGCCAGTTCCTCTTCACGCGCGCACGTCTTCACCCGCGTTGCTACGCGTGAGTCATCTTTCTTGAGCCAAGTCTCCTCTCTCTCGTCCCTCAGGAGGCCCGACGAAAGTGCACACGACTCGCCCGTTCACAGCTCAAACTACGCTACTTGCCTACGCTGGCCGAACAGGAGCCTCTGGCGCTGGCTCCTCGTGTTCCTCGCAATCTTGCTGTGCGCCCAGCTCTACCTCAGCGTCCGCGACTCCAGCGACGACGTCCTCTCTCAACTCTCAAAGGACTGGAGGTCGGGTGCTCACTTGGCTGGGACCAGACCGGGAGAATGGCTGAAGGAGAACTCATACCCGAACGACCTGCGGACCAGGCGGCCCAAGGCGGCGCTGATCAGTCTGGTGAGGAACGAGGAGCTCGACGGAATTCTGCAGAGCATGCGTCAGCTGGAGTTTCGGTGGAACAGGCGGTACCAGTATCCCTGGGTGTTCTTTAATGAGAAGCCGTTCTCGGACGAGTTCAAGGTCAGAACATGTCTCCCACATCCTGCATACCCACTTTGAGCGTTTTGAGGTGTTGGAAATGAGACTGCGCTTTGTGCCGATTGAGATGGAAAAGAGCCTGCTTAAAATTCCTAACAGAGAGAGCTGTGATCGCTTTGGGTGCGTATACGTCGCTGACGGACAAACAGGCGGCGACCTCGAATGCGACATCAGCGCGGACAGAGTATCACCTCGTCCCTCACGCGCACTGGGTAACACCCTCCCACATCAACCAGACCCTCTACCACAACTCGCTCGACTACCTCTCTCTGACGTCCGTGGGCAAGGGCCACCTGCTCAGCTACCACGCCATGATCCGCTGGCAATCGGGCTTGTTCTACCTGCACCCGGCGTTGGCGGCGTACGAATACTACTGGCGCGTGGAGCCGGACGTGCACTTCTTCTGCGACGTGCCGTACGACCCGTTCCGGTTCATGCAGGCGACGGGGATGGTGTACGGGTTCAACATGGCCATCCTAGACGACGCGCGGAGCTTCGCCTCGCTGTGGTCGACGACCCGCGACTTCATCACCGCCCATCCACACTTGGTGCACCCGGACGCCAGCCTCGACTGGCTCCTCGACCCGCAGACGGGCCTGACGTACAACAACTGCCAGTTCTTCTCAAACTTTGAGATCGGCGCCCTCTCCTTCTTCCGCGACAACGAGGGCAACCGCAGGTACTTTGACTGGCTCGACGACAAGGGCGGCTTCTACTACAGCCGCTGGGGCGACGCGCCTGTGCACACGCTGAGCGTGTCCATGTTCGCCCCGCCCGACCGGGTCTGGTGGTTCCGCGACATCGGCTACCAGCACGACATTGCGCGACACTGTCCACCACAGGGGCCGACCAAGGCTACTACCACCACCCGTTCCAGATCCAGACCTAGCCAGAGGACCGGCACCGACACCACCACCTCCTCCGAAGGGGGAGAAGACGAAGACGAATATGACACCCACCACAGAGGAGGAGGAGGAGGACGACGACGAGGCGAATCCCAATCTCGCTTCTGGCTCCCCGACGCAGAATCCCGCCACTGCACATGCGAACCCACCTCGCTGGACGAGAACTTTTACAAGCTCGTCCCCATGGAGTCGCCGCAGCTGAAACCGGCCGACACGTGCATCCGGCTGTGGTTGGGTGGGGAGTACCTCAGGAAGAAGGCCGGTTGGAGCCAGGACGCGGAGAGGATGTTGGGCGGCGACGGGTATGGCGGGTACGTCGACAGTGGGTTGTGAGTGTGGTGTGAATGTGGATGCGACATGAGAGGTTAGTCGAGAAGGAAGGGAGAAGAGGAAATGTGAGAGAGTCATGGGCCTGATGCTGAAACACTGGTGGGCTTAAGCTATGGGTTGACCCTACGAGCGACCTTGACAACATACCTGTACTCGGTACAAGTGCATCGAACACACCAGCCATTCAGCCTACCAGAGCATTCTGCAGGAAAAAAGAGGGAGAAGGGGAGAAGCAGTCTTCAGGGCCGAGGTGTTCAAACAAACACCGCATTTTCCAATTCTCAGAAGAACTTTTTAGATTTTGATTTCAATCGCTGCGTATAAGTTGTCAAACATTATTCATTCAGACTCTGCTTTGATGGAAATCCGCTAGCCACTCGCCATCTTCTCAATCAAATCTGGGAAGCGTACCAAAGTAGGACGTCTAGAACCGCTAAAACGTGGTCAATGTTGAACTCTGGAAAAGGCTACGTCCCCTTCGACCTAGGTCAGATATCCTCTGCGGGAGAGATTGAAGGCAGGGCGGAGCTGCGACGCACGGCCATCCCTGACTCGGATCTAACATTGCGAAGACGTCAGAAGCTCGAGAGATGCGGTCTGCAGCCATCTCACGCCTTTGCAGCACCAGCCTTAATGAGAATGATGTCGCCATCCTCCACAACTGTGCATAGACAATGTTAGTCTTTAAATTCCTCCTCAATTCCAAAGTGTCGAGAGTCGAGGAGGTCGAGGAACTCACCATAATCTTTTCCTTTGGTCATGACTTTTCCTGCCGCTTTCACAGCGTTTTCATCGCCGTATTCCCTCAAGGTCTCATAATTATACACGATACACTGGATGAACGTCTTCTCGAAATCCGTGTGGATCACACCAGCAGCTTGTGGTGCCTTGGTGCCTTTCCTAATCGTCCACTGCCTCACCTCATCCGTCCCAGTGGTAAAAAAACTTGCGAGATTGAGTGCTTGTCTCATCGTCACAATAACTTTCGGAAGAGCGGATTTGGTGTTGAGATTTTTGCATTCCTCGGCAGCTTCCTCGTCGGACATGACCGCGAGACGTTCTTCAAACGAGACGGAAATAGGTATGACGGGGTCGCCTGAAGAGTTGGTTTTGATCCATTCCATGACTTTGGGCAGGTGTTTGTTCTTTTGGCGAAGATAGTCTTTCTCGGAGAGGTTGATAAGGTAGACTACGGGCTTGGCTGTGAGGAGGAAGAGAGGATTGATAACTTCAATCTGTTGCCGCCTGATTAGCTTCAAAGGCATACACAGCAATGACAAAATCGATCCAAATGAAAATATGATATCAGGGTTGGACTTCCTCTCATAACAGCCTCTAAACGTGAGATTTTGGGTGAGACTGCTGTCGACGAGCTGGGATTATGTCGAGCTTATAGCTCTTGTTCATCATGAAAAGACAAAAAGCACAAGGAAGAAAAAAAGTCGCAACGTACCTCTTTAGGGCCCCATTCACCCTTCCTCACATCCTTGCCGTCTTTCAGCCACTGCAGAATCTTGTCTACTGTTGCTTCCTCTTCTTTCAGCTTCTTCATCTCGAGACTTTGGCCACCTCTCCTTGTCTGTTTAGACAGGTTTTCCTTGGCTTTCTCCACGAACTCAATGTCCTTTAACCGTAGTTCCTCTGAGATAATGTCCAAGTCTCTTGTGGGGTTGACATCGCCCTCGACGTGAATGATTTCTGCATCATCAAAGCATCGAACAACTTGGAAGATCGCATCAACCGCTCGGATGTGCGACAGGAAGGAATTACCCAGACCGGCGCCAGTTGAAGATCCGCGAGTGAGACCAGCGATATCGTACACCGTCAAGTTGGCGGGAACTTGAGACTTGGGTTTGTAGTGTTCGCATAGCCAATCATATCGTGCGTCGGGGACAATAACTCGGGCTTCTTCAGGTTCGATGGTGGCATAAGGAAAATTTGCAGGGTTGCCTAGAGAGCATTTTGTGATGGCTTGGAAGAGTGTTGATTTGCCAACATTAGCTAGGCCAACCTGGAGCAAAGAAGAGTCAGTCAACCATGTGGTCAAGAAAAGTAAAACAATCTTGTGCGGGATCTGCCTACATACGATACCGCTCTTCAAGTTATTGCCGGGCCTGCCTAGCAGGACCTTCTTCTCTTCGACGGCCTTTTTGGGTGGCATTTTCTTCTTAGCGTAGCCGCGTGTTTGTAGGAGCTGGACAATGGGGACAGAGGCTGTCTTTCGGAGAATGTGCTGCGAGCAAGGCTCAAGTGCAGAACCGGCTGCAAGGATTGAAATGCGGAGGGGAGAAGTGAAAGGGTGTATGAAGCAGGTAAGGGAGACCGTGGTGAATAAATGCGGGCTCCAGAGACTCGAGGGCTGAATTGCGCTCGAGATCCCTACGACAAAGGTATGTTAATGAGTGTATCGAAAGGACTGACTTGGATCGACTTGACTTTTTTCTGAGGATTGAGGCTTGCGATTGCTCCACTCACGTGGCAGGCGCCCAGCGTGGCAAGCACGTGATGCCAAGACTTGTAATGACAAAGTAGATTTGTTGAGAAGGCATGGTAGGCAAAGGATCAATGGTCCCCATATGTCGATCTAACCACAGCCTCACACTGTACCACCTCTCTCGCTCTCTTGACCACAGCACTTATCACGAGTCCAATTTCTTCATGAGCTTCCCTCATCTATTACCCCGCATCCGTCATCTCCGTCCGGACGCGCATATGCAACTGTAGCTTGCGGAGAAACCTTCCTTTAGCTGGTTGGCCTTTCCTCGAGGAGAATGGAATATTAGCTTCACATACAACAAAAGACACTGGGCCTGAAAGACCCTGAGCGCGATTCCTACTTGGTATACTACATGGCCCTTGTCAGCAGATAAACAGTTCTCGTGGCTCACATGTGGCTGAGCATCTCAGTGTCGCCTTTTAGCCTCACCTGGGAAGCCCCTCAATCAACCATCGATGTTAAGTATTGAGTAGTCCATGCGTGGCATCCCGCCCCAAACGATTTGTGCATTTTGGCATGTTTTTTATCTCCTGGTCGCTCCGAACAGACTCGTCCTCGGGGAGAATTTGTTCCGACTGACGATGCTCAAAGGAGATCTGGAGCGGAGTTTGTCGGGGTTTAAACCCGGCCCACCTCGCTACATGGAACGACAACACTGGCCGTTCATCGCTCCGTCTCCAAGTCGTAACATGTGGTGACGAACAATTTCGCAGGGATTCGCCTTACGAGGTCTAGCGTCGAGTATACTATGAAGCTTTCCAGAACCTTGAATGCACAGAACCCCAGCATTGTCTTCAACAACAGAGTTTGGACCATAGGGTCTTGGTGACGTTCCATGCAGTAGCACCGGGATTAACTGGTTCCCTTTTGTAGGAAAATCGGCGCTGAGGATTGATATAAAGTGCTCGAACTGAGGCCTGCCTGCTACCAACTACATTGTAAGTGCTATTGCAAACTGCTATCTTGATTCCACATCTATCTCCCTCGAATATCTTCCAAGTCCTCTTTCATCGTCAACATGGGATTCCTATACTCTCAACTATTCATCAAACCAGCTTATCCGAAGAGATCTTTTGCTGGAGAAACCGTCATTGTGACTGGAAGCAACACCGGGCTGGGGAAGGAGGCAGCACGACATTTCGCTCGTCTGGGGGCCTCGAAGCTGATCCTAGCCGTGCGAAACACCAAATCTGGCGAAGCTGCCAAAAGCGACATTGAAAAGACCACCAACTGTGGGCCCGACGTGATCGAGGTCTGGGACCTCGACCTCTCCTCGTACGCCTCCGTCAAAGCATTCGCCGACCGCGCATCCAAACTTTCCCGCATCGACGTGCTGCTCGAGAACGCCGGTATCGCTACTGGTACATACAGTGTCGCCGAGGGCCACGAACGGACCATCACGGTCAACGTCATCAGCACGTTCCTGTTGGCTTTGCTCCTGTTGCCGAAACTAAAGGCCACGGCCAAGGACTTCAAGACGTACCCACGCCTATCCATCGTGTCCAGCGAAGTGCACGGCTGGAGCAAATTCCCCGAGTGGAAAGAACCCCATGTCTTTGAGGTGCTCGACGACGAGAAGACGGCGAATATGAATGAACGATACCCGACCAGCAAATTGCTCGAGGTGCTCGTCATCCGCCAGATCGCGCCCAAACTCGCCGGCTCCGGCGTCATTCTCAATTACCTCAATCCAGGTCTGTGCCATTCCGAGCTCGGCCGCGAGGGGTCCATCATCCTGGAGGTGATGAAGTTCTTCCTGGCCCGCTCGACCGAGGTGGGCAGCCGAACCTTGGTCGCCGCCGCCGAGGCCGGCATGGAGTCGCACGGCAAGTACATGTCGGACGGCAAGGTGGACGACGGCGCCCTCTCGAGTTTTGTGAGGAGCCAGGACGGTGACACGGCGGCCAAGAAGGTGTGGGACGAGCTGGGCGACATCCTGGACAAGATTCAACCTGGGATTACACAAAACATTTGATGGCCAACTCAGTGTCTTGAGCTGTTGTCTCGTCTGTGTTTCAGAAAGGCTTTGTGGGATATCTAAGGGGCTTTTTGATATGGATATTATGTTTGGGACGCTTTGCTGGAGTTGCTCATCGGTCTTCCTGCGACGCGGTTTCAGGATTAAGACTGCTCTATATTATAACTTGTTTTGCTCGATGATATGATTTCCTTCCCCTGCAAACAGTGCACACTCATAAGCGGTGACGAAGGCGTCCATTTAGCCCCTCAGCATTCGCTCATATATGTGCAGCGTCTCAGAATGCATATTGTGAAGAGTATCCAACAGCAAGGCTGAATACACTCTGTCACCTGCCTGGGATGTCAGGCGTGGTCGTATCTTCCCGCTCGGGTGTTTCCTTGTGAGATAACCCTTATAGTAAGGCTCGGTCCCGCTCCGGTCTTGCTGATCATGTGGTGATCATGTCGAATCCTGGTGGACATCCAGCCGATATTGGGAGAGGGTGGCACAGTGCGTCCCCCACATTCATCGCCGGCGAGATGTCTTGCTTTGCGGAAGATGCCGCACTTGAATAGAGTTTGTGACACTCCTCTTCCTTTTCCGCCCTCATAGATAAGGGCGCCGGGAATTGGCCCTAGCGTTTAGGATCTCTCAAACTAGTATGACAGTGGCCATTTTGAAATGCTCCTTCAGCCGACATCCATCTCTTCTCCATCCTCAACGTCTTCGTCGCTCTCACGATCGAGGTCCGCTTCCTTCTTCTCCCACTTTTTCATCGCTGCATCTCCGTCCTTTCCTTGTCTTTGTGCTTCAAAATACGCTTCCCTCTTCTTCAGCGCCAGATCATCCCGCTTGCCCATTCTCGCAAGTCTCTTGTCCCTTCGTTTTGCTTCCAGATTGTGTAGGACGGCGAGCTGTTGTTTTAACTTGGACACTTCCTCTTCGAGTCTTTCTGTTTTGGCAATCCCGGCGCTATCTGTTGAGACGGAGGCTTGGGTTGCGCTATTCCCCATTGCTAGGGAGTGGATGGCTGCATCCAGCATAGATTGTGGGAATCCAGGACCGGTAATAGCTTCTGTGAAGTCGTCATGTTCGGAGAGGCTGTTTCGGGCAGTGATCGAGATATGGAGACCATAGTTTGCAGGTACACCGCAAGTACCGTTGTCTTTCATTGACGCGAAATCAAGGTTGGGCTTCACAACGCTTGAGATAGTATACCCAGGCCTTTCCACATTAGGAAAGCCTTCGGGTTTGAGCATCTCAATGTTCGTGACTGGTTGGCCCAAATTCGTTAGATCTTGTAGAATTCGACGCTTAGCGACGTCCCAGCGGATGATAGTTCCATTCACATGACCAGAGAGGAGGGATGTCCCGTCATAGGAGAGAGTAACACAATTCACTGTTCCCACGTCGGCGGATGAGGATTTCCAACTATCCTTCTCCAAAAGTTGTGTGGCCGGAGGTGTTGGCTGGTCATTCAATGAAATAGTGGTCGTGGGCGAATGTTGAAAGATATCCCAAGACTGGATCCTCCCGTCATTGCATCCAAAATAGATGGCTCTATCCGCTGGATCAAGTGTGATGGAAGTGGCGAAGGAGGGCAGCAATAGAGTCCGCAACACTTGACATGTCTCGATATGCCAAATGTGGCATGTTCCATCGCTGGAAGCTGAAACCGCAAAATTTGTAGTAATGCTGGAGTGGCCACATATCAAGGCACTGACGGTCGTTCGGTGCCCAGAAAAGGTCTTGACGGGAGCATTTGAGGCACCATCGTCCTCATAGTTGTCTGAAGGCGGCGCAAACGAGACTAGTTTTGCTAGCGACCAAACATGAATACTCGAGTCAGCAGAGCCAGAAATGATGTATTCGTTCCTAGGTGTGATGCAAAGACACGAAACAGCTTGAAGATGAGACGCCGCCGAATTTGTTACTCTGCCTGTTGCAACTTCCCATAGAATCAATTTCCCTGCTTCAGTCCCCAAAACCAAGATTTCTGCTCCTCCTGCATAGGCGAGGCTGGATATCCTCTCGGGAAATGGGACAGTGGCTTCTTGATTGACCCTTTCTCGACTATAGACGTTTATAACTGCCTTTTCTGCCTGGGCCGCGAAGATGTGCGAATCACTGATGGCCACGCAGCCTGGTTGACTGGAACTCTTCTTGAAGCCTTGCCGGAGGACGCGCTGAGGTTGAAACTCGTGAAGGAAAATGCCTACATCTTTCAAAGCGGCGCTGGCATGTGCCACAGCTTTGTTCGCAGTCAGAGTCGCCGCAACGAAGCTTTCTGTGAGCATTATTCAAGTTTGAGGTGAGGTCGCCAGCATTATCGTGGTAATTCCTATGATTGACCACCGATAGAAACTTTTTGGGCCAAAACGCTGCGGGTCCTGCTGGCCCACGCACCACGTAGTGACTAAGCAGCTTCACGTGCATTTCAATATTCGCGCCAAGAAATAAATGTCTTGGCGTGCGCACGACGGAAACCAAAGCGCATCTACACAATTCATTGACTCAATCTCGGCCTTTGACGAACTCAACCAACAACCACGTCCTCGCCCAACTTGCGAATTCTTCCCCGTACGACTCTTTGCAGGTGATTGAGAGCGAGATGTCGACCTTCGAGCCCGTCGTAAGTTCTTCCCTGGCGGCATTTGCGCCCAGATCGTCGGCAGAATACAACAGATCAAAAAGTACTGACAGC